CAGAGTATTATTTGCCCTACTGGCTACAGCGTCACACTGATGGCTCATACTCATACTGTGGTCTGTTATTACACCCGGGTCCCTTTCATTCATGGTGCTAGTCAGTTTGGTGCTGCAAGGCCTGTAGGTGTGTTGGGGGTGGCTCGTCCCAAGGTGGAGCACTTTACATTTCTCAACATTGAACTTCATCAGGTTCTTATCCGCCCAATTTGCTAGCCTGTCTAGATCCACCTGTATCTAGCCTATCTTCAAGTGTGACCGTGCTTCTCCATAACTTGATGTTATCCACAAACTTGGCCAGTAAGCTCTTCACCCCCACATCCAAATTGTTAATAAAGGTGTTGAAAAGTACTGGATTGAGCACAGACCTCTGTGGGACACCTCTGCCCACTTCTCGCCAGGATGACACAGATCTGTTCACTACAACTCTGTGGGTTCTATTCTGGACCCAGTTTCTCATCCATCTGACCATCTTGGAGTTAAGCCCCCAGTCCTCCAATTTTCCTAGTGAGGACATTGTGAGGTACTAGATCAAAGGCCTTTTGGAAGTCAAGGTATATAATGTCAACATGTTCTCTCGTGTCCAGGTGGCGAGTTAGGTGGTCATAGAAGGAGAATGAGGTGGGTAAGGCAAGACCTGCCCACGACGAGGCCATGCTGGCTGTCATTCAGAATATTCCCTTTTGCAAGCTCATTGCAGATAGACTTCTTGATGAACATTTCTGTGATTTTCCCTAGGGTAGAAGTTAGGATGATTGGCCTGTAGTTACCCGGGTCCTCCCTCCTGCCCTTCTCGTGGATGGGCACAACACTGGCCCTTTTCCAGTCCTCAGGGCCTTCTCCAGAGTGCCACGAGTTGTGGAAGAGTTTCGCCAGGGGTTCCGCAAGGACTTTGGCCAGCTCCTTCAGCACTCATGGATAAAGATCATCCGGTCCGGCTGACTTGTATACGTCTAATTTTTTTAATTGGTCATACACAAATTCTATGGCAATAGTAGGAAGGCAGTTATTTCTACTGTGCTCATCCTCTACTTTACCTGGCGTGGTTTTTTCCCTTGGTCCAGTGGAAGTCCGAAGCAAAATAATCATTCAGGAGTTCAGCTTTTTCCTGGATACCAGTAACCAGCTCTCCTGAGCTGTTGAGCAATGGCTCCATGCTCCTATTTGTTTTCCTCCTGTTCCCTGTGTACAGACCCTATATGTTGTCTGTGTTGTCTGACCAGTTCATAGAAGTGCTCTGCTCTGCATGGTGGAAGAGAACCTGGCAGAGATCATGGTGCCGGCTGCAGGTTTCAAGAAGTGCAACGTAGACAGGTTTAGCAGGTGTTGCAAAACAACCCACAGGTGTGGGAAAGACAAGTCGCATGGCATGGGCTTATAGGTTGTGCCATGGGGCATGTGGATGTCAGTCAGCATGGACCTGCCCTGTTAGAGGCATGTTCTTGTCTGCCTTTCTCATATGGAGTAGTGAGGAGTGCCTTACCCCATGCCATGAGTAAACCCACTGGGTTTGCTGAGCAGCTGAGGTGATGCCAGGGGTGAGGGAATTTTTGTCAGACAGATTTCATGTAAAGACAGGCAGTAGGCCACCTCTCGGATTCAAGCAAATGCTTTGTGTGAGTGAGAGCTGTAGACCTTGAATCTTTTTAGGTTTGTACCATTATTTGTGAAATGGGGATATGGTGCATCTGCTCCAGAGGTGTGCTGTGGTGTTAAATGCATCCCTTCAGAAAGAATGCCCAAATCAGAGGCTGGAAGGCACAGCATGTGCAGCCTGCCATGACACATCCTGTTCTACACCACAAACGTATCCAACTTCTCAGTAGTTCCCTCATGCCAGCTGCTGAAAATATTGTAAGGTTTTTTACCTTTTGTGCTCTGCACTGATTGGGCCCCCTTTAGCAATGAATATTTCAAGCCCTTGCAAGCAGGCTACTTGCACTTTGCACTTGTTGCAAGTCCTGAAGCAACAGGTGAAATGCCTGAGCGTATTGGGGATCAAAGCTGGTCTCCAGCTGCCCAGATTCTTGGCTGAGCCAGAAAGGGATCCAGGGTTTAGCCTATCATCTAGCTGTGGTGCTAATGGATTTGTTAGAAATGAGTGTCTGCCTTTCATTGTAGGTGCCTGGAGGGAATGGGGCATATGGGGATATGTGGACAGAGGAGTGTTGTCAGGGGCGGTTCCAAGTGGTGGGGTGTAGGATGGTTGGTGCTTTTACATCCTCTTCAGCAGAAGCCTTTAGGCACTGCTGGAATGCAAATAATACAATACTAATATAGTTTGAAATTCCTGGCCTTTAGCTCTGCAGGCTTGTTTTTAAATGAGAAAATCCTCTTATGGGTTCTCTCCCTGTTTACAGCCTTAAATCTGCTTTGACAAAGGTTCTCTTTGTCTGGGAATTATGCTTTTAGTTACTGAAATGCTGCCACTGGTCCTGCCAACATGATAGCAGTGTCTCCGCTTCCCCTTTCACCCCTCTGTTTTCTTGTTTCAGAGACTTTGATTCGCTCTCCAAGGAGAATGTCTATGAGAACAACCGCCTGGTGAGTGCCTGTGATGCCACACACTGGGGAAAGAGGAAGTCTTGGACATGGGAAATAATGTGCTAAGTCACACATTGCTAGCAGAGCAGGAAGTCTAGGAGTGGGGGTTAGGGTAGCAATGATGAGGCTAGAAGAAAACATTAACTCTGGGGAAGGCAGATGTATTCCTGGGTGAATGAGAAACCTCTCCATAGCATCTCCCATGCAGTCTGAGACCACAACAAAGACAATATTAGATTCTAACTTTCCAAGTGGAAAATAACTAAATTGTTGCAGCATCTGCCTGAAATCACCAGTGCCTCCGCATTTCCAGTTCTAAGCTTTAACAAACATCTGCAGAAAGAAACCAGTGAGATTCCACGTATGGGCAGAGGTCAAGCTTCTACAAATCATTCCCATTTCATGGCACTCCTGCTGGTGCTGGGAAAAGCTGCTATCAGCAGCAGAAGCAGGTACTGGAGTTATTCATAGGGCAGGAGGCACCCAAAAGCCAAAGACCTGAAATAGAGGAGAACAGATGTGACCTCTTTCCCTGGCCTGCTAACAAGATCAAGGAGTCTTGGGTATGCTAGAGATTAAGGGGAAGGCTCCAGAGGTGCATAAATGAAGATGGGAGGTAAGGGCAGCACGTAGCTCCCAGTAATTCCAGGTGTGGTGGAGGGGGAAGCTTAAATGCATCACATGGCACATGCCTGCATGCCAGGTGCTGATCCAAAAGATGGAGGTCCTAGTCGTGTTCCTCATACTACACTCTAGTTGCAGTCCCAGTGCTGTCCCTGTTCCTGGCAGCTGGTGCCCAGAGAGCTGGATTTCTCTCTAGGGTGATTTTGATGGAGAACCCCCAATGTCTTCTCTACTGTAGTAAATGATCTCCAACTTTGATTGCCTATGAATGGGCTGCACCTTATGGATGTCAGTACCACATGCAAATACCAGCTGAATTGGTGTTTCCTAGTGAAGTAGCCCACTTAGGATGGGTACGATTCCCTGAGGATCGATGATCCAAAGGGCAGGAGGAGTCTAAGCAATGGGTGGCCATGAGGCCAAGACAGTATCTGGTGAATTGATGGACTCAGTGGTGAAATATAGTTAGTCATAGAGCAGCCAGACCAGATGTGATTCTTGATGAAGCAGTGGTCCCAAGTTGCATGCTTTCCTTGGAACAGTCCTGAGCGCTGGGTGGGGACCATACCATTTTGGTCAGGCTGTGGTCTCTTACTGCCCTTCTTTCCCATCCCATTATCCCAGCCAGCCAGGTGTCTGGTGCTCTCTATGCTAGGAAGAATGTGCTTATTTGGCACTGTGGGTTAACGGTAGAATGTACTTGAATCCTCTTGTGGCTGCTAAGCAAGTGTAGACAGTACACAGGTGAAGGTGGAGTGTTGAGGTCAGCAGAGAACTTCTGGTCTGTGAATAGAGACTTCAAAACCACCCCAGGCAGAGCTGGAAAGACAATGATATGTATCATCAGGGCTCACTTGAGGCTGAGTTAAACAAAAAATGAGTCACAGGACCTGCTGAATTTCCTAGGTGGCGTCCAGTCATCACTTTCCTCCCCCCAACAAGGGAAACCCAGCCTCACATTTGGTCTCATTCAGGATTTTGGCTCCCTGCAGTGGGACTGTCACCCTGTCCCTTATATAGTCCATTTCTCTGCCTATAGAGTGGCAGCCTCCTTGATGTTGCTACCGGGTTTGTTTTGCTTTAGCTTTGCTTTTGCAAACTGGTTGGGCCCCAGTATTAACCATGTCTGTTTCTTGTTTCCTGCTGTATGTGACCTTGTGGCTTGCACCTGGCTCCTGTGCTCCAAGGTGGGAGTTCCACTTGTGTCCAGGAGTTTCTTTTCTCCCAGGGGCCTTGGCCTGACTTCTGTTTCTTCTCCTCCCTCTCTGGAACCCCTGCAGGCCTTTGAGGTGGCGGAGCGGGAGCTGGGAATCCCTGCTCTGCTGGATCCCAACGATATGGTCTCCATGAAGGTCCCCGATTGCCTCAGCATCATGACCTATGTATCTCAGTATTACAACTATTTCAACAACCCCAGCCCAGGTGAGTGCTCCAGCCTCTTTATCCTTTCTCTGCCATGGCACTGAAGGGAAATTCAGCCATGCCTTACTATGGTGGCATGTTCTATCCCTGCCCCCCAGGGCAGTGACCTCTTCAGAGCTTCCTGTTCCACCCTAGAGCTTCCTATTCTCTGTTTGGCATGTATTGCAGCAGGAAGCGACTTGGGGGATGGGGGGACAGTTTGGCGTTATGAAGTTAGTTGCCATTTTCAGATACCAGCCCCAACAGTGGCTCAGAGTGCAGACAGGCAATTCTCATGACTTGGGAATTAGAGAGCACTCACGTCG